AAGGAGGAAGGTGAGGACCTAAGCATCAGTAAGCATCAGTGAAAAAGAAGTAGGACCAATGGATTATAGGTCCTATGGGGTCAACAGGTTTGGGGTTGGGAAAATAGGAGGTGTCGGGAAAACAAAGGGATGCTGGGAATTGAAATTATGGATAATTGCAGCTATTGGCTCTGAAGAGGTCTAGCTTATGACAGTGAGAGGCAGAGGCTGTGGTAGGATGAGGGGAAGGACATTAGAAGAGAGGAGATGAAGGAACCGAGAGGCCAGGTTGTTAGAAGAGGCGTTTATGTGCCTAATACAGTCATTGGGAATTATGGCAGGACAGTGTTGAGAGCATGAGGTATCTGGGAATAGTTACCAGAAGAGTGGGGAGAATGATAGTCAAAGCTGAGGGCTCCCCGGGTGGAGGAAGAATGGTCTGGAGAGGGTTATGAGAAACAAGGACTCAGACGCCACCTGCAGGCCAGGGGAGTGAAGGCCGTAAGCAATGATACCTGTGCTGGACTGAGCTAACAGAACAACCCATGTGCACACTTCCCACATCCACGGTCAGGGAAGTCAGGGCGGCAGCTTGAAATCAGCCACAATGAGAGGGCTGACATTAGAGAAATCAGCAGAAGCTACACATCAGGGCTCTCCTGCCCTCAGAGCTGCTTTACCAGCACACCACTTCGGGGAGGAGGAGGGCAGAGCCTCCTCTTGAAAGGCGCAGGGAAAGCAGTGACCTCAGGGAGACCTGGGTTTTAGAGCTAGAATGTGAAGGGCTCACCCAAAGTAGAGGCTGCGGTCTGAGAGATCTTGCTGAGGGTCTGTTTACTTTGAGTTCCAGGGTGTGTGCTTGAAAGAGCTTCAGGGAGGGCTGGGTGGTGGACTGGTGGACTGAGTCTTAAAGGGATTAAAGTGCAGAGGATAAGGAATGACCTGAGCTTTGGGAGCTGGGGACACAAACAGGGATAAAGGCCTAATGAGATTAGTCCTCAAGGTCTCAGGGCAGAAAATGGTGAGGAGGCTCTGGAGGGGATCTTGCAAGGAGCACACAAAAATGACCGGTGTATTGGATTAGTGTACAAATAAATAAAGGACAATAAAAGAGACCGAAATTCATGTGGCTCTAAAGGAAC